ATTTTTGCTTGGGGCTGCGAGACGCGTGCATGCGCAAAAGCTTTGCATTTTGCGACTGCATTGGTATGCAACTATGAATGCAAAGAGCGTTGCATTCACATGGTACATGAATGGCTAAAAAAACAAACACCAACAGACAGTCAGCTACTCCAGTCGCTACTTCGTTCCCTTGACGACAAACACAACAAACTTCAGCCCCTTCATAAAGCCACATACATACATACATACATGCCGTCTGTCTGTCTGTCTGTTGCCAACTGCGCGTTCGCAATCACAATGCTCCACTGGAGCAAGAAACTCGTGACGTTTCACAAAGCGCTTAACGACACCGAAATAAAACAATATGCTTGAGAGTGTCTGTATTCCATTCATAAATTCGTTGTCACTCATCCGCTGGAAGACAGCTAGGCATCCAGGTGAGCTTGTTGCAAGTGGGGGCGGCTAGCAGAATTAACTCTAAAATCATGCACGCAATGTGGCAAAGGAATTTGCAAAGCCTATAACTACACCGCAGAACAAAAGAAAAAGCAAAAAGTTGACTAATCAAGTTGGTGGCCGTGCGCTCTTGAGACAAGTGCTTCAACACCCCTACAAAAACAAAAAAAACACAGATATGATACAGTCATAAATTGGCGCTAAATTTGAATGAAAATTACGGTGCGGCACGCGCAGTGGTGCCGCCCCATACATATTTTGGAAAAAATTAGGAGTTGGCATAGAGCTTCGATTTTGAACCGACTTCCAAAAAAGGAGGAGGTTATCAGTTCGTCGGAATATTTTTTTTTTTTATACCCGAGCGCACTTGTGCACAAGGGTATTATAACNCTGCACTCGATAGGCGTGCACACACACAGCCGGTAATTGAAAACATTTCACCTGAGTTTTACACTGCAATCACAACACTTTTTGAACTTTGACTAAAATTTTTGCTTGGGGCTGTGAGACGCGTGCATGCGCAAAAGCTTTGCAAGCGACTGCATTGGTATGCAACTATGAATGCAAAGAGCGTTGCATTCACATGGCACATGAATGGCTAAAAAAACAAACACCAACAGACAGTCAGCTACTCCAGTCGCTACTTCGTTCCCTTGACGACAAACACACAACAAACTTCAGCCCCTTCATAAAGCCACATACATACATACATGCCGTCTGTCTGTCTGTCTGTTGCCAACTGCGCGTTCGCAATCACAATACTCCACTGGAGCAAGAAACTCGTGACGTTTCACAAAGCGCTTAACGACACCGAAATAAAACAATATGCTTGAGAGTGTCTGTATTCCATTCATAAATTCGTTGTCACTCATCCGCTGGAAGACAGCTAGGCATCCAGGTGAGCTTGTTGCAAGTGGGGGCGGCTAGCAGAATTAACTCGAAAATCATGCACGCAATGTGGCAAAGGAATTTGCAAAGCCTATAACTACACCGCAGAACAAAAGAAAGAAGCAAAAAGCAAAAAGCAAAAAGTTGACTAATCAAGTTGGTGGCCGTGCGCTCTTGAGACAAGTGCTTCAACACACCCCTACAAAAAAAAAACACACACACAGATATGATACAGTCATAAATTGGCGCTAAATTTGAATGAGAATTACGGTGCGGCACGCGCAGTGGTGCCGCCCCATAAATTTTTTGGAAATAATTAGAAGTTGGCATAGAGCTTCGATTTTGAACCGACTTCCAAAAAAGGAGGAGGTTATCAGTTCGTCGGAATATTTTTTTTTTTTTTTTATGTATGTTACCGCATAACTTTGCACCACGTCAACCGATTTCAATAATTCTTTTTGCAAAGGAAAGGTAGTGTCCATACTAATTTGGTTTAGGTCCGATCATTGGATCATGAAATATATAGATATAAATATATTTTTTTAAGTCGGTTTTTTTTTTGCTAAAAATTACTTGTTCATATGTAACATTTGTGTTAAAAAAAATCGTCGTGATTGGTTTATTTTAAAGCATACCTCCCATAAAAATCTAACCTGAAAATCGCTTTAAAAATGCCATAGAAAGCGCACCGATGACAATATGACTCCGAAATTTGTATCCATATGTTTAATTTTATATTATAAGTGAACTCTCTATTCCAATAGATGTATTAAGTGCATGAAATAATTGAAATAAAACATTTGATGACCTATACAAAATTTACTTTATTCCTCTCGGCAACACTGTGCGGCGCGCTGTTGTAACGGGTGATTTTTTTGAGGTTAGGATTTTCATGCATTAGTATTTGACAGATCACGTGGGATTTCAGACATAGTGTCAAAGAGAAAGATGCTCAGTATGCTNGAAATGTCAAAGCATACTGAGCATCTTTCTCTTTGACACCATGTCTGAAATCCCACGTGATCTGTCAAATACTAATGCATGAAAATCCTAACCTCAAAAAAATCACCCGTTAGATACACGAGTACATATGTACATATGTATATACATATTCTATGTGACCATAAATGTGAAAGTGGTCTAAGTCATTTCATATCTCTCATTTCTCATTAACCGAACCGAAATTATCCACAAATGTTTGATCCAAACCGAAAACCGACTGATGGGGGTTATATTTTTAAAGCACGGTACAATTTGAGGGTGCCTAATCCTTTTATCAAATAAAAAACAAATTGGTCCATATGTTATATGGAAACTTCAAACTTGCACTTGATTATACTAAAATACAATAAATTACAAAACCATACACTAAGGTGGTCCTTAAAAATGCCAACATGCAAATTTCCATGAATAAATATCCACGAAAATTTTAAAATTTAAAAAAAAATTTTAGTGTTCGTTAGCAGGGTTAAAAAATTTGTTTTTTTTTATCACGAAAACTCGACGAATTTCGTACTTGAAATCTGATAAATTTTACATATTCATATAAGTTCGAAAAATCCGTGTCTTATAACTGGTCAAATTAAAAATGTCGGATTTTTACGATTTAAAAAAAAAAAAACAATAATTCTTTCAAACAAATGTAGCCGCACCTAAAATTATTATTTCTTTTTTTTATTTTCGGATGTCTTTATTTTGTGCCTAGAAAAGAATAAAGAGGTACGCCATGATGTTGATATTTTTAAGGACCACCCTATTGTATACTAAAATTTTTGTTAAAATGCACAATAAAAAGCGCCAAAATTTTTATGAAAATTTACAATTTTTTGCGCAATGTTTGGAAAATCTACTTTGCATAATTACGAGTAACTAGAAATCTAAAAACAATATTTTAATTGTTCAGAGTTTAATGTAATTAGCACAAAATTTTATACGAGGGTTGCAGCACTAATGTGAATATATCAAATCTGACATTGTCATCATAAGGTTTGACATTTTTAATGGTAAAGGTACTCAGAACGTTTTAACAGACGAGTGCTGCTTATGACACTTCTGCACTCAATCCACAACATGTGAATTGAACAACGCATCAAACCTTCTCTTCGCGTCGAAAAACGTTGACCACGCAATTCATTTTTGATCTACAGTAACAAGAAGAAATGATTGGGTACTAAAGTAGGACTCTACGGCAGAATACCCATCAATTGAATGTTCTGAATTATGAAAACATTTTTGTTTCAGTGGATGTGTGAGAGATTGCATTGTCGGAGAAAGATTCGTTTTCTGCGTTTGTTTTCTCTAATTTTTCCGAACACTTCTGGCAAATAATTGCTTGTGTACCATTCAAAGATGGCCATTCTTCGAAGTGATTCGTGCGCGAACAGCTTATGTTAGATTTGGCTCGCTTTGAAAGATTCATACAATCGATTATTTTTTAGTTTCGGGTTCATACTTATGAATAGATCCATATATCCAATAATCTTACAGGACCGTTTTTGGAGCACCACGACTGAATTTCTTGAACATCTGTTTGCCCCAATCGAAGTTTTCCGGCAGAATAGTCGATTTTGGACGACCTCCACGAAATTCGTCCTCGAGTGAAGTGCGACCACGATTGAATTCGGAAAACCAGCAAACACCATGGCTCGAAGTCGAAGCAAAAGTCCAGAGTCATAGAAAAACAAAGCACGAAAATGTTCGCGGTTCAATTCTATTTATTTAACCAAAATTTATGTTTTAAACTTTACGATGAGAATGACAGATTTGACAGATTTGGAATATTATTTATTTACATTTATTTGAATTTGCGTTGTTTCTCTCATCGTTCTCGAATCGAATTCTAATGTAGTTCTCTAACTTCGTCATCGACTCGAGCACACTTCGAGAATTAGCCTAGTTATCTAATGCAGAAATCCAAATGTCCCTAACGTTAGAGACTGTATTTGCTGCGACTTAGCTATTAGCCTTTTTATTGAGGTATTAGCTTTGGATACATGCAATGAACACTGTAGAAGAGTGAGTGGGCATTGGTAATAAAGGCTACATATTTATGTGAAGTAAAGCTTCGCGCGACATTTCTAATTTTACCAGCAAAGTGTAAATCGCAAAAAAGTATACCACAACAAGCGCTTAACTGCACATTTGTATCGTTTGTTTATTCGTGAAAATTTATGTAAGTGTTAATTTATAATTATCACAAATATAATACAAATGTATGTTCAGTTGTTTGGTGAAGCCTTGTGGTGCAATGGAGTGCAAAAAAATGTTAGTTTGTCATCTTTTCGCTATGAAAGGCACATTGAATCGATTCGCGAAAATTCCCGTTAGGTAATCCTACACTATGTATACTTAGTAGAGCAGATAGATTTCATATATCGAATAAGAAACTCAATAGACGACATTAATTATATGAAGCCACCAATTTATAGATATTTTTTTTTTGGAAATAGGTAAAGGTTTAGATATGATGCTTTAAAGCACTTGCTCTGCAATACACCGCCTTTCTAATTACCTTAACAGACTAAACACTTCGCAACGCGCAGCAACCAACTTTTGAATAGACCGTTTTGTTTTTATGCACATAATGGAAAAATATTTCTGGCAACAGTTTGTTTGAGGTGTAACTTTGTTTATGGGTGAAGAGTATTTATAGTGAAAACATTTGTGCAAATAAATACCTTTTGCGATTGAAGAAATTGCCTTGCAGAAAATTATTCCTTGTATTTACATCATCCACCTGAAAGGAAGAAAAACATTAGTAAAAGAGTAATTGCAATGTATTTATTAAGAAAAAACGTATTAAAATAACCGCGATGCCGTTACTATTTAGTAGGGCTGTGCGATTATTCGATTACTCGAGCAAGTTGGTTAATCAATTATTCGGTTAATCAATTACTCGAGTAATCAAGGTTTTGATTACTCATAACGATGAATAATCGAGTTACTTGAAATATGATTACTCAAAAAAAATAATTTTGCTCGTAATAGAGTTTGCTTTGGAAAATGCTTATTTTCTTTTTACATTGTGTATGAAAAAAATTTTTTGTTTTAATTTTTGAAAACAGAAACGTTGTTTTCAAAGTATCAAGGAACTTTAACTACTTTATACATATGTAAAGAGTTGAAATGTTGATTACTCATTTTACTCGAAATGTTGATTAATCATAAAGCATTTTACTCAAATATTTTTGTTTTTGGTTAATCAAAAATCTTGATTACTCGAGTAACTGAACTTTTGAGGAATCATAATTTCCAATTAATCGAATAATTGAGTTATTTACTTTATGATTAATTAAAACTTTGAGTAATCAATTAATCGCACAGCCCTACTATTTAGTACTAAACATTATAACAACAAATCGGACTGTGGCTACCTCAGTAGGCAAAAATCGTTAAATTTATTGAGTGAAATTCGTGTGTTTGATACAGGGACCAAAAATAACTGTTATCCCGAATTTAAAAATTGAAAACGTTGCCCCAATTCTGGGATTTAACGAAACCGTTGTTTCATAACAGTTATTAGATGAAAAATATTTTTTTTTTCGCCGCCGATAACAGTTATAGAGTTTTTACGTTATTTGATAACAGTTATTGCTGAACGATTATTTTTTAGGTTGCTTGATAACAGTTATTATCCAACGCTTATTTTTAAGTTGTCTGTAAACATGTGTTGTAAGATGAGAATATTGACGAAAACGTAGATGGAGAGGAAGATAAATATGACGAAAATAAAAGAGAAAGAACTGTGAAATAACTGTTATCAGACAACGTAAAACTAAACGCTGGGTTATAATCCTTATCGGCGAAAGAAAAAATATTTCTCACCAATAACTGTTATGGAACAACGTTTTTCTGATAAAACTTATAACTGCTATGTTCCTGATTTGATATATTTTGATCAAATAAGTTGTACACTATCAACTCTTCTTCTTTCATCTTAGTTTATATTAATAGGGTACCTACATTTTGCCACTCAATCCACGATTTTAGCCCAAGGATAATACGAGTATCTAGAGGAGCGTTTTCGTGATGGAAACGCCAATGCGTATTTCCTGCCATGTTTTTGATATGCCAGAAGAAGGCATCGTCGAGTACACTATCGAGACTTTCCGCATTCATTGACAAATATCGGGGATTAAATATCCCATATTTGGGTATGGCCCCCAACACCACGGTACCTCCCGCTCCGCTGAGGAGGTGATCAAGGCGATGTCGTTCAATGTGCAAGTCATGCAAGCAATTGCGATAACTAATTGGGCTCCCCAAGCTAAATTTTGCAGAATCAATATCAATGGACATTTGTTTTTGAGCCATATTGGATGCAAATTTTGTTTTTGTTTTCAGCTTATTCAAACGTGTTGATTTCCCTTGGGCTCTTTTTGCCTTAATTAAACTTGCATGAACACCAATTTTATTAGGCCTGATCTTTTCGGAGTTGGAAAATTCTTGCCGAATAATTTTCTTATTAGCAACTGTAATTGCTTGTTGACTGCTGATTTTGTTATTTTTGGTATATCGCGATTTCTTATGTAAGTAGGCGGATATCAATTTGCTGCTTCTACCGATATTTTCACTTATTTGTTTAACTGACAGTCCCGCTTCCTTATATGCAAGAATTTTTACTGATTCCTCAAAACTTAATGACTTGTCTTTAACCATAATTATACACTTATTTTTACATTGAAAATAAGCCAAACCGGCTGGAAGAAACTTTGGTGACTATACGCTTCCAGTTATAAAATATAACTGAAAAAGTTATTAAGGTGGGTGTTCGAAAACAGCACAAATTTGACACAATATGTAGTTTGCGTAACCATTTTCCAGAAAAGCAAATAAAAAACAAAGATTTTTTTCAAAATAGCAAGATAAGAACAAAATATAGTTTACTTGCATTTAAGGTGTGCTGACTTAATAACAATCAGTGCTGATAATAATATGAAGTCATGAGAACCTCTAGCTGGCCTAACCTTTTTAAGAAAATAGAGATGTTGCCTGCAATAGAGGTCGGTAACTATCGATAATCGACACCAACGATAATGTGCGATAGTTGTGAGTCTATTCTAGACGATTGTTTTCTCTTTTCAACCCTGAAGGATCTTCAACTGCAGCTCTATGTCTTACGCATATCTTCTGCACCTCATACTCTACTATTTTGACAGCTACTGCCACATTGGGGTGAAGTTGGAATCCAATCCTTTTTAAAGCGCGGATCCGAGATGGTCGCTTTTTTTGACCCTGATTGCTGTTCGTATTATATAACCTTTTCTGTGGCGCACCAATTAAAATTCCTGGTACGTACCAAAAGCTATTTGGATTTCAATGAACCTCAAATTTCACATTCCAGATGGTGCCTAATATCATAAAACAAATGCACCTAAATGAGACAGATTGTACCTTAAAAAAGTTCGCTTGTAGTTTTTTTTTTATTAATTTTATTTAAAATATGATGCAATTTTTTCTTTAACTGAGCTTATGTCTAGTCTAGAGGAAATCGGAGAAGCTTTGTTATACCCGAGCGCACTTGTGCACAAGGGTATTATAACTTTGTTCACATAACGGTTGTTTGCAAAGGCCAAAACGAATCGAGTAAGATATAGACAAATGTATACATAAATGATCAGGATGAAAAAAGAAATCGATTAAGCCATGTCTGTCTGTCCGTCCGTCCGTCCGTCTGTCCGTCTGTCCGTCTGTCCGTCTGATATTGAAAATGGGCAAAATCAGACCATAACCACGCCTACCTCCCATATAACGGTAGTTTTCAAAAATACGAAAGCTGCGAGATTTTGGTAACTACTGAAGCTTATTCACTCAAAATTGATATTTACAATGATTTTTAAACGAAAAATAAGAATATTATAAATTTTTGGAAAACGGGCTCAGCCACGCCAAATTATGTTTACATTTGTATATCTTGGTAACCGCTTCACCAATTTCTCCCAAACTTAGCACAGTCTTCGATACAACATACCAAACGGCGTAAAATTTCTAAAATCGGAGCATAACCACGCACACATCCCATATACCGGTAATTTAGAGAAATACGAAACCTTCGATAAATCAGCAAATACTAAAGCTAATTTATTCAAAATCGATTAGTTATTGTAACAATTCTTTAGCTAAAAATACGTTTCTGATAAAATTTTGGAAAATGAGTGTGGCACCGCCCACTTATGACCACATGTATGTGTATATCGGTAACCGTTCGACCAATTTGTACCAAACTCGATATGATTATTGTGCTTGCCATATAAAAGCAAAACGTTGAAAATTATTGAAATCGGACTAAAATTACGCCCACTTTTCATAAAGCGGTAAATTTCAGAAATGCTTGAAACTTCAACATTTCGAAAGTTAATTAACGCTAATTTGCTCAAAATTCATACTTACAACAATCCCTTGAATAGAAGTAACATATAACTTTATAAGTTTATCTCATTATGACTAACTGAACGTTCTATCGAAGATGTTTGAAATAGGGGTAAAAGCACCCTGCTTACCATGTAGCGGTAGTTTCCAGAAAGGTGAAAAAAAACTAAATTTATATAGACTTGTTTACTTGTTTTTGTCTTATTTTGACCACTGATGGATAAAAAGCTTTTTATAAAACAACAGGAAAAGTCTGCTTATTTATCCGATGGGGATTGCCGTAACTTCGAAAGCATTTTAAATATATTCCCATAAATCAAATAGCGAATACGGGTCAAATAGCTATTGTCTCAACTACAGAAAATGCGATATTTGAAGAAATCCCAGACTGAGGACTGTATGGGCGAATAAAACTAATAGAGAAGTTAAAACTGGTAGCATATGCGGGGAAGTTTAGCTTTTATGGTTTGGTAACACCTAATTTTTTTCGTGGGTCCTTTTAATGCACGTGTATGTTTGTGTAGTATATCTCAGCATTAAACTCAGCCCTGCTGTTAAGCTGTTTCTTAAAAGTCATAGTTGTTTTTGATTTTTTTTTTTTTAATTTTCCACAACGTAGATAATCAAAAGTATGAAATCGAAATAACATCCAATAGCTACTCCTACTAATACAGGCTTAACACTTTTGTAATAGAAATCTCTTTAGCAAGGGGTGGCTAACTTTTTTTCGTCCGAACACATTTTCTGATTTCAAGGCGGTCAAATCTGAAACTTTGTAAAAAAATAACGATTTTTTTAATTTTCTGCATGTTTTTTCTATAGTTACCACACCAGTTGTGTGATTTATGACTATGAAGATAAAAAAACTTTTGTTGGAGTCTCCTTTACAAATCTCTCTCAGATGTGGAACCGATAGGAGGACAAATACATCTTTTCGAGGCACATATATAGGTGGGATAAAATTCAACGTTGGAAAAGTTTTATGTCATTCTTAGTGGTTAAAGTTGATCAAGAATTGTTGGGTAGTATAATGAAATGGATAAGAAAATTGTATAAAAGAAGGGGCTTATAAAAAATATACTTACAAGCAGATCTTTATAAAGCCCTTTTAAATGCCCTTAAAAGTAGAGCCTTATGAAACCTATATCAAACCAATTGTTCTTTACGCTTAGAGTTTTGTATTTAGAGGGCAGGCTCATTAATTAAATAATAATATCTCGAAAAGGGACAAAAAAAAAACCCACAGGATCTAGAGGGTTAAAATACTCCTACAAAATTTTCTCCGTTGTATTTTACATAAAACTGCTGAACACATCGTATGTCTAAAATGTAAGGTTTCCTGCGTCGATTTCCCATAAGAATGTGCAAAAGGGGGAAAACTGTAACACCCTAAAAACACGCGAGACGTAAGCTTTCAAAACGCTACAGTTATGTATGTATGTAGGGTGTCCCAGACGGCATGTGAAAAAGGAAAGTCGGAATTTGTATGCTCTCACGCCCAATAATAATACCCCTATTTTTTATTTCGAAGTCAAAAAATATTTAGAGGTCGCTCAAAGCTCTTTTATATGGGGGAAAATCAACTTTTCGTGGAAATCAACTTTCGTGGTATAGAATTCTTGAAAATCGATATTTTTCGATCGGATTTGTTTCTCTTCAGGAGATTCTCAATAATAATACCCAATTGTTTTTTTTAACAATTTTTTCATAGTAGCTATATTTTATACTTCCGCCAAAACCCCAGAAAGTGCAATAGCGGGACCAATAAAAAATCTTTAGTATTAAAAATGTTTAAATAAACAATTGGGTATTATTATTGGGAATTTCCTGAAGAGAAACGGAGTTTTCCGATCGAAGAGTTATGATTTTCAAGAATTCTACGAAAAGTTATTTTATCCCCATATAAAATACATGGAAAATATTTATTGATTACAAAATTAAAAAAGGGTATTATTTTTTCGATATAGAACAATCCTAGGGTGTGAGAGCATTAAAATTCCAACTTAAGTTTTTTTACATATGTATATTGTTTTTTGGTTCCCTCTACCAGAATCCGTTATCAAAACTTGGTTTTTTTGTTTATGTAATTTACTACATCAACCTGCCGGTTGTGTTACATTTTTTGGTAACATCAATTGCCTGTCGAGGATATACAAACATGTTTTTTTTTTGTTTTTTGTTTTTTTTTTTACTCTGCGCTACTCACTATTTCATTTAATTTGTTGTGTAATTAAAAAATAATTCGCTACTCATCATTTATTTTAATTGCTTTACATAACACCTGCTATCAAAGGGATCCGCACACGCGCCAAATAAAATGCATACGTGTATACGTATATTTACTAAATATTTCTATTTACGTTTGCCAATAAAATTAAAAAAAATAAAGTAAAAAAATAAAAAATAATTAAGGAAAAACAGCTAGGAGAACTGCTTGTGTTGAATGTAGACACAAAAATTCTTACACGCGCGCTCTTTTTAATTTGTTAAATGCAGTATATTATCGTAATGATTGTATGCATTGATGTACAGTGACCCAAATATAAATAGCGACGTGACATTTTAACAAATTTTGGCTATTTTTCTGTAGTTTATTTAATGTTGATTATTTTTTTATGAAATTATTTTTTACATAAAAAACAACATATGAATTCAAAAATTTAGACTTTATGCAAAATCTGTGAAAATTCTGCAAAATTTCACCAAAAATCAGCATCTTTAGAAACAATTTTAGCATGCAGTTTTGTAGCTGTTATATTTTAGTATAAAAATGTAAATTTGAGGTAGCGGTTTACGCATTTTTTTCCAAAAAAAAAAAAAATCGAACAGACTTTGTATGGGAAAAAATGCGTAACACCCAATATAAAGTATTTTTGAACGAATTTCCGTCATCCCTTTAACAAATTTGGTGTGGTGACAAACCGGTTTCGGCGTTATAAATACCATCTTCCGAGTTATTTTCGTAAGAGAACAGAACGAAAAATTACACTGAAGATGGCGCAAAACCGAAACCCGCTTATCTTCATAAAAACCAAATTTGACAGTATTTAAATTAAATTTCGAATGTTATATTATACTAAAGTCAACTTTAGCTGTTATTGCATACTGCTACAATTACTACATATGTATGTACTTGCGTGAGTGGAGATATTTCTTCTGATTTCGTTATGAAGTAGTATCCAACCTCGAAGGTTATGCTTGAATAAATGCTTTGCCAAAAGTAAAATTACAAGACCGAATGGCAAATTGCGTTCAAGTAAAAAACTGTTAAGTCAGCCAATGAAATTTGTTTTCTAAAACGGCTCATCTCTCAAAGTATTTGGTATGACTCACTCAATATGAACGTTTAACACGATATATAACGTAAATATGTACATACATATGTACGCAAATGCATTTGTTTCAAAGATTGTGTGTACATAAAAAAAAGTCTGCCGGCAGCCAGAAATCGCGATACGCGGTGAACTTGTTTTGCACGGATTCCAACGAGTACTGAAATAAATTCAAAATGTGGCCTGCTGCTCGCTTGCAATTTATAGTAGTAATGAAGTTGCAGTCGTAAAGGGTTCATTTGTACTAGTAGTGGATCAATAAATAGAAAATGAAAGGGGATTCCAATAAGAATGCACAAACTACTATGATATGGTGATTGCAGGCACCACACTGAAATAACATAATTGCTATGGAATATTGTATTTTATGTATTTCCAAATGGCGACTATTTACCATTTATTTCTATATATTATCTAGCTTTAATCATAGCATCGTCAGCCAAAAAAAAGTATCCAAAATTACCGAGATTTTTTAGCTAATTCAAGCATGCACAATATTACATTAAAATTAAATGGCCTATAAAACTGCATAACCAACTTTTTTCAAGAAATTTTTTGAAATTTGCCGAATTATTATAAATCTTGTACAAAATTTTAAACTTTCGAGTTATTTGTTGGTTAGGGCCTTTTAAGGTAACTATATGTAGGTATACCTGGATATGTATTTTTAGATGAAATAAAGAAAAGCTTCGGTTTCGGGCCGTGTGAATTAAAACTAAGCAATTGCTTTTTCTTAAAATTGCATATCTTTTACTCGATTTATTCAATTAAATTTAATAAATTTTCAATTTCATAGTACTGGTATTTAAATTCCCGGTTTTATTCGCATTGGAAGTGAAAAATCCGACATTTTGGATTTCAAAAATCGAATGAAAATTTAAGAAACGAAAAACTTCTTAATTTTCACCCATTGTAATATACAAAAATTAGTTAGAATGGTAAGAATAAATAAATCTAATAACAAAAACCGCACCCGCTTACTTTACCCTAATCGTTATCACGACAATCATATGATTTTATGTATATCTGGCTAAGGACTGTCACTCCAGCAACACTCTCCAAAAAACTCTTTGGGGAATCTGTATGCTGTTACAACAACAACAACCAATTTACCCTGATGTTCACAGCAAATGTAATATTTTATAATAATGACTAATAAAATATGTTTAAAAGTTGACTTCGATTAGATCCCACGGTACAAGTTTTAAACTAAAAAGAAACAGGGGTGACACGTAAAGTTAAAAGGGACCTACGGTCAGAAAAAATCGGTTTTCACTTTTTCATCGACTCTTATAGTAAACGGGCCGCTCTTTCCAATGCAATAAACCGCAGGTTTCTAACTGCATTAGTTTTTTTCACAATTTCACTTCAAAGTTAGGTACTTTCACAAAAAAAGTACAAACAAATCAAATCTGACAAACTATTCTGAAATTAATTAAATTCGCTTGAAACTCGTTACTCGGGGATTTTCGGGGTCGCTGATTACGAATCCGATGTTAGTTTTTCAAAATTCGGTGTCAACGACATTTTTGAGTTTCACATGAATCCGAACAAATTTTAAATTTTTCCCGCCATATTGGATCCGCCATTTTGAATTTTTAAAAACAAACATCGGATTCGTAATCAGCGACACCAAAAACCCCCGAGTAACGAGTTTCAATCCATTAAAACGTTCAGAAGCATCAAAATCAACTTGGTAAACTTCAAAGTCGTTTTTCTCGAAATCTTTTTTTCTGAGCGTAGGTCCCTTTTAACTTCACGTGTCACAGGGTGATATTCTCTTAAAACTAAATTCTATAAAAGTTGACAACACAGTTGTCAAAGGGCTATGAAATGACGAGCGATTCGAGGCAGCCTCGTAAAACTCGATGAATGGGTCGTATGACCCCAGAAATATGCTGGAAGGAGCGCTGGCACAAAGTGGTATGCTATTGTATCATTTACTTTAGACCAGTGCCAGGCAAAATACAGTGGCTGCCTGGCACTGCCTTAGAACTTTAGTGAAGTTTTGGTCACTTTTATGCAAATTAATTATTCACAGGTAAATTTAAATCGGTTTGACCCCAATGATGTGAATGAATTCTATACTATATTCTTTCTGGAAGTCATTAATTGACGAAAATGTCATATTTATGTCGAAGAGAAAAATACTCGGTATTTCTATGTGGAAAATCAAAACCTAAAGATAGTTTAGTGGAGCAAGTTGACTACTTAAGCCTCTAGAACTGGTGTTCAAACAAATTTTATCACTATCAAAATATGTGTACGTTATTTATATCTCCAAGCAAAATATGGAACTTTCGCTAACAAGTATCTATAAAGGAATACACCCCCTTGTTATAAAGATATAACCCATTTTATGCCTACCGATTTTGAGTGAACCAAGGCTGTACGTATGTATGCAGATTTTCTATTAAAATCACAGATCACTGCCCCATAAACTATTCAGTTTAGTTAAAACAATTAAGTCATTCACTCACATTTTGTTGTGCCTGCAGCTGGTGATGTTGTGACGGGCTGCTCGATAGGGAATCCCCACCGCCAACATTTGGTCCACCACCCCCGCTTCCATTACCACCGGCTCCTCCACCAGCGCCAGCGCCACTGTTGTTGCTGTTGTGAAATGTCTGAAATATATCGTCAATACATTCATCGCCAGCATTAAATCGGACGGTGATTGGTACACTGCCAGTGGGCTTGCCGCCACCACCTGCCGCATTGCTATTGCCACCTGCAAATGAAAACGCACATATGATTAGTAAACAAAGCAATTGACGTCATACGTAATGCGATTTGATTGAAATTCCGAAACGCATATTCAGTGCAATAATCACTCACTAATTACCTTTTGGAATTTTAAGTGAATCCATTTTATGTGCGTTTTTGGGCCTTTATTGTTTTGTTAGCCAGACGACACGAGTTTCGGCGTAGTGCTTGTTAAAGCCGACGTTGTCGCAGTTTCTGTGTATCTGTATGTGTGGCTAACCAATCAGCAGAGCATTCATTAATTACTTCTAGCCTCTAGTATTCAATAGCAGTCGTCAGAGGAAGCTCACTTTCATTGCATGAGCGAGACACACTTTCTAGCAATGTTTAGCGGCTAAAAATGCTATCTTCTTTCCCTGATTATATTTATATTTCAAGCTGCCACCGATAGCAATAATAAATGACCAATACACTGCTTTCTCAATAACAGTGCTTCTCCGCCGAATGCCTCGATACCACAAGACCGCAACAAACTTTACGCAACCCTCGTTCAACAGTAATAAAAAGCTGAGGCCAACATTTCCACTACACAAAGCACACCAACGGGTGCATCGGAATCCGTTCTCTGCCAATGCCGCTGGCCGATTAGCTAATACCCACGCGCTACTCTCTCGTGCGTCCCGTCAGTGAATTGATGGTGCTGCTGCTGCTGCTATTGATGGTGCCCTAAATTTAGAAAGCAGCAGAGTGCACGCGAACAGACAGTTGAGATTGTGAGCGCAAGTGTCCGACCGATTCAGATTGCAGTTAAAATGCGCGCGCGAACAATATTTTTAAATTACGATGTGAGAGTTTTTGAACAGCGCCGGCATTTGCAAAACAAAAAGTTTGATAAAATAATTGAAATGATTCATTTGTTTTATTTTTGTTCGTTTGGTTTGTTCAGTTGAATATATATTTTTGAAAAAGCGCGCGACGTCATTCAAACCATAGCAATCAAATATTCCCATGTCAGAAGAAGAGCAGCCGCGGTCAGTAAAATCGGAAAATAGATAAAAGAATGAAATAGGGTACATTAGTGTAAGTTTCTATTTTAATAGGAAAGCATATGTACATAATTAAAACTTAAATTATTTTAAAATAAGTTAGTAGTAAAAACAAATATTTTTAAAACAAGCTTTCTAAATATGACCGAAATCGGACCATAAATACGGGTTTATCAAATATCTCGACTCCTGCGCCGCCTATCGGATTAACTCATCTTTCGTATTGCATTGTCATAGGGTTCTGAGCCAACTGTGAAATTTCTAAAAAAAAAATCATTTTATAATCTTTGAGAGGCTTTTCGAGTTTCGAGTTGTAATCTCCTTTTTCCAATAAGCATAAACAGCAGTTAAGGCTTGTTTATTTGATATTTATTATTAACCGACGACATCAAAAAAAGGAAGAGGTTATCAATTCGTCGGAATATATTTTTCTATGTATGTTACCGCATAACTTTGGACGACTTGAACCGATTTCTATAATTTTTTTTCAGAGCTGGTCCCATACTAATTTGGATCATGAAAAAATTATCGATACTCTTAAATTTGTATATGATAATTGAAGTCTCTTATTATCCCCATAAATACCATGTATATGGAGATTTCAAATTTTTAACCAAAATTTTTTGAAAAGATGTTGGTATGCAGTTTAATAGACCATTGAAATAATTTATTTTTCTCACGGTGTTAGATACGCATTTTCTTTCATACAAATTATATTGGATATTTTTTTATACGAGAAAAAATGCGTAAAACCGTAAAAAACTGTCAAAAATCAACTGAATTTTTAAGCAACTTAACATTTGCACTTTAGTATAACCTTGAGTAGACCTTATGATATTTTTGATGTTTACAAGTGGACTTTATATTTAAGTTTTTTGTCAAAGCGTCCATCTTTGAAGGGAAGAGCGTAGCAAAACATTATATTTAAAAGGCGTTTACATTGTTCAACTCTTAGTTAAATGATGTAAACTTTTGATTCAACCTTAATCAATAATATTTAGTACGGCTTTCCCACGGCACCCCATTTACGTAGTTCGCTCTCTCACTCATATTTCGCACTTCAATTACCATGTGTGAATTACAAACAAATCGCAGCCGTCTCTATTTTTTATCGGAAATTTATCGAAACCGTACACAAATCAAAACTGCCACTTTTTCTGAGTACGAAAAGTAAAGTTTTACTAATGTATGTACACCAACAATTTAATACGGAAGCTTTAAAGTTTTAAGCAATAACTTACATTTTGCATAAATTTTGTAGCGAAGAAAAAAAACCAAACACAGAGATAGGGAACTGTCAAATCAAATTAAGAATAAGCCCGTGGGAATGGGGGAATTCGCAATCGTAATTGGAGGGAGCGAACAAAGTAATTCATGGTGCCGTGGGGAAACCGTATCTTCACAGGCGAAAATTATTGTCTACCATATGTCATTTTGTTTGCCAAATATGTATATGTGACCTGGTCTACGGAAAGGGGGCTTAGGTGTCAAAAAATCAATTTTCACTTTTTGGTTGATTCGGATGGAAGATGAGATGCTTTTTCACGTGGTGAAAAGCAGAAAATCCTAACTTGCTTAGAAGTGTACTAAAAATGTAGAGAAAGAAGAGTAAAAATACGACAAAATATAATTTATTGGTAATGAACAAAATACATTGAATTATAAGCTATAAAGACATGATTATACACTAGAAAAACGTATTATGGGCCAAAAATAATAATGCTGAGTAGTTTATGTATTTTTCTTTGTTGTCGTTTTCCTTGAGATCTTTTTACGTGTTGATCCTGAGGAAGATGGACCTGGTTCCTCGTCTGGTTTGAGAACATCTTCACTAGTTTTTGCCTTTCGTTTCTTCGTTACTCATAATTCCAGCTTCGATGTGACTTAGTATCACTAAATCAAGTTCATTTTTCGACATCTCTAAACAATTGTTCCGCGTACTCTCGATCATTTCCCGTGGTATCAGTGTATGGCATTCATTATTACAACAATCTTTTGACAGAAATTTTGTTACCAGCTCCTCCTCCTTTACATCAACAACATACAGGTCCATCTTAACAAAAATTTGTTCGGTATCATCTTCTGCCTGAGATACACATACTTCGTCTTCATCATCATCGCTCTCTTCATAGTTTTCATCATCCTTTTCATGGAAATATTGTCCGTATACGGCACTGAACTCCTCATCAACACTCATGTTTCATTTCATGCGAAATGCGAAGACGATAATCAACAGAAACAGTAAACGTCACTTCTTCAGTGTTACTTTTTTAAATCTTCCACACTAGCAACTTACACGATGAACTATAATAATATTCCGACCAACAACAACACTTACTGGACCAACAACAACACTTACTGGACGTCCGGCGCGGAGAACAATTAACGAGATAATGAGAAACTGACGAAACGAGTTGCTTACTTTTAACAGCTTTTTCACAGAAAACTAGTTTTCGCACGTAAGCTCCCTTTTCGTAGACCAGGTCACATATGTTTTATCAGTGGCAATTCTTGTGTGTGGAGATTTTTTATCGTGATAAAAGTATTTGTAAGATGGTTTACAAAAAGTACGAGTAATCCTTATGTATATATGTAAATGTATAAGGTGATCCAAAATAGCTAACCTAGCGAATTTATGGCCTTAAAATTACTTATTTACTGAGAAGGAAAATTTACATTTATAAAAAATTTATTTAAATTTTAAAGTGTTGGTGGGCATTTGTAATTTTATATGTAATGTAAATAACATGTAAAAAAAATTGTTTTCATTTAAAATGTTATAACTTTTGAACCGTTAAAAAAGGTTATAAAAAAGGGAAATAAGTAGTATCTGGACATTTTCTTGTAGGGCATTAAATTCTCTAAAAATGACCCTGAAGTTGGTTGTCTTAGAGGCGATTAAGAATAAAATATAACACATTGCTGAACGAGATATAGCGTTGATACAAAATTATAATCAAACTTTGAGGAAATAAGAAGAACAAGCAATATATTTTGCAAGTAATACAATGTCAATTAAATAATTTAAAAATAAATAGTCAAAACTTATTACTATGTACTATTAAATTGTTTGACTTGTGTTTAGAGAAACTCAGAATTGTTAATTTATTCGTTATTTATGTGTTAAAATATATATACAATTTTTTTTTGTGTGTTTTCAATGTAGAGAATTTTTCCTCCTGGAATGTTAAAAAATTCTGGTCACCTTACTTATACTCATTTGAGTTTTATTATTCGAACTCTGAGAGAATTCATATGGGGAAACGGGCTTTAGACACGGTCATTTGGAAATTCTCCTATCATTACTATTACCAAATTTTAGTGCACATACCGAAAATCAATTTGGTCTGTTGATCTGAAGTGGCTATGAAATTATTATTGCGAATAACTTTCTGCTAATCATTCACTTACAGAAATATGAAAATGCGTACATACATATGTATGTACTTGTTCGGCGGCAGTGGGCACAGGTACCGCTGTATCAAAGGTTCACATATCAAAGCTATGTATAAATTTTTATTCTTTAATTATTTATTTTCACAATAAATACTTAGCAAGCACATTTTTTGGCGTTGACGATGGCTGTTGTCGCTACAGCATTGGTACGCACGTCTGCTGCATTTGTGAGTGAATGGTTATGTGCCCTCTTTCGCATGGTTTTGTTTTTTTGTAAATAAAATTAGTACAAATGACTAATGACCGCAAGAGACTCACAGTCACAGCAATCAACAACAATGACAACAACCGTTAACCACAGATAAGGTGACAGCAGCTGTTGCTGTTTGTTTTGAATCCTAAACATCTTAAAAATCTTTTGTATAAATGGATTACATAATCCCAAATATAAAATACAATTAAGTGGCGGAAATGGTTAATTTCGAGCTAATTGATAGCATTTTTCCACCAAAGGCTTAACTGCAGTTAGGCGCTCAGATAAGTAACAAGAATTTTAGCATTGGGTGATCGGCAAGATTTATTTCTTAATTTTTGCTTTTTTCCTTCCGATTTTTATGAAAAAAGACTAGATGGGACGAAGGCGTTTACCTCGTGCTCTTGGAATCTTTGTATTGAAGGTATAAAGGTGGTTCATAATAGTGTTTTTTTTAATCATATGTTATTTTAGAGTGGTGCGGATTTTGCAGCGGTGGTATCATTAGCCCCATTAAAACGATTTCTTGTTGCCGGATTGAAGGCATGGACTTGGAGGATCTTTGGTTTCAGCAGAATGGCCCATGCAAGAATCGTTCTTTTGCGCGCCAACTTCGGTAATTGTGATAACCGCCGCCCCAGCGATGTGATTTGACCACCTCGGAGTTGCGATTTCACGCAGTTAGACTTTTTTGTGGTATGCCGTGAAGAATCGAACAGTCGAAGTAAGGCGAATTTCGAATAATACTATGTTCACCTTGAGCCATTAACTCGAGTTTATGGGCCATTGTGGAGTTTAATGCTAAACTCTACTCTTAAACTCGGAGTTTACCATTCAAACAATTTTCGTTAAACTCTCCTTAAACACCACTTTTACTTGGAGTTTATGGGAATGCAACCCTTTTTTACCGAATTTGATTTATGTCTTTGATAATCCAAACCTGCAATCAACTTGCCGACAGTTAGCCTGTTCCCGTACTGCAGGATTTAATCAGAAATAGTCCGAGGTGGGTTCCGTGAACATAAAAGTAGCATATCTAGCTATGCAAAACCCAAAAATGTGGCTCGATAGAACTTTTCCTGCTGATTTTAACGCTACCAAAATTATCTGGCA